GGCGAGCGAACCGCGCCGCAGTGTCTCCTCCGGATCAAGCGGTGAGCCGGGGTTTTTCCTCCCCCAGCCCCGAGCTCCGGGGCTCGACCTTCCCCGCCCCCACCCTTACCCACTACCACCGCCCCGCTGCCTCCGCGCTGCCCTCGCCGCGGCCCAGCTCCTGGGCCCACGTCTCGCCAGCCCGGAGCGTCGGGATCCAAGTCCTCTTCCCCCGCCCCCAGCCCCACACGCACCAAGCCCCTCCTCGAGTGCCCAGGTCCGACCCCGCCCCTCGGCCACCTCCGGTGAGCCCTCTGTCTCCAGTCCGGACACCCTCCCCCATACCTCCCGCCCGAAACCCGACCCTTCCGCGCTTCAGTAACACCCCTTCCCGCCCTCTGCGCCGCCCCTCTCCCCCCTTCCCCACCCCAGCCTTGCTAGATGCTGCCCGGAGGCCCCACCCAGCGGTCCCCTGCGTCGTCTCCTGAGCCCCGTTAGTAACACACACAGCTTGTTTGCTCAGCCTGAGACTCCAGGCCAGCCTGGCTTTTTCTTCCCCGTCTCAAGTCCCCTCCACAAAGTCCCTTCCCCAAGTCCAAGTCGCTTCCCTCACATGCCTGCAGCCTTCCTTGAAGCACTTTTCCAGAACCCCAAAGCTGTCCACTCTCACACCTGTTCCAGGAACTCAGGCTTCCTCCTCTCACCCTCCCAGTCTCTTTGGCTTGTAGTGTCCCACTCAAGACTTTCTTTTCTGTATTCTTTCCTCCGGGTCATGTGGTTTACTTTCTGAAGCAAGTATACCCAGTTCAAATATAGGAACAAAGGCCCAAGTCCTTTCTGTGCTTATTTCTTGGGTGACTGATCTTAGATCATATCATTTAGTAGATAATGTTTTTGCGAAAATGCTTTGCACAGAACCTATTACATAGGAGAAAAGAATGCTTTTTAGCTGCTGTTAATACTGAAACCTGTTTGCTGATGACCAGACTCTCTCCCCATGCCTCCCATCACAGTCATCCTCATCTAGGTAATCACATTCCCCACATTCCAAGTTCTTTCAGGTATTTCCACCTACCTTTCAAGGTTGTGATAAAAATTAAACAGCATACTGTGTGTAAAGCACCTGGCCCAGGGCCTGATGCAGTTGGCCAACTCCATCAAGGTTGCCGCCTCTAACTTAAGAAACTCAGCACTCTTTTTTTTTTTTTTTGAGTAAAAGTAGATTTATTCAGAGATGCACACCCCGTAGACAGAGTGCAGGCTGTTTCAGGTGGCCAGAGAGGCCACGAGGTGCAGGGTTGGGTGCTTAGTTTAAAGTAAAGGTAGATACACACTCCATAGACAGTGCGGGCCGTCTGGAAGGCAGCTCAACACTCCTTAACTCTTGTACTCCTTCGGCCATTTCAGCCTTCCAGTTCTAACATACCTCTGAGTTTTGCCAGTACTTGTTTTTGTCTCCTGTCATTTATTTGCACTTTTTTTTTAATGTCCCTGTGTACCCTAGCAAATCCCTAGATTTCCCACCTAGAATGTGTTCCTATAGATAACTGCTCACAACTAATTTATGAGCAGTCTCCTAGCAAACCTAGCAATCCTCTCATCTTCTATAGAAGTAGTGTATAGTAGTACATGTCCTCTTCCAGATGTGAGATTCTCAGCAGTTTCAGAGGGTCCTCTCCCTAACCTGAAGAGATCTCTACCCTTTTAGTCCCCTGGGCAAGAAGACCATTATTGCTTCCTGCTAGCTCACTTGCTTCATATAATCCCCATGCCAACAACAGTCCACTGTGTAGTTTATGGAATTAGTTTTTTAGTGGAGTTGATTATGCCTTCCCAGTTACTGAAAAACCTTCATTTAGCATTCAGCCGTAGTACCTGGGAATCTCGGAGGTGGGGAGTGAATGAATTGCCATGTGGGAGGAAATGAGAGTAAATGGGATGTGGCTTTTCCAGGGTGACATCTGATGCTGTTGGGATCTCTGATTTCCACTCTCCTTTCCAAACCCTCCCCCTGAGGAAACAATGCGCCTTTGATAATAATTTGCTCTCTGCTTGCCTGACAAGTACTCAGCTGAGATTTCTCAGCCAGCAAGACAGTGCAAACATTTGTGGTACCAAGCACCACTTTCTCGAACCCTGGCCTTGTTGAGGTGATAAGAACTGCTTTGCTCAAGGGATTCCCCTCTTTTCTCCTCTCCCTCACTCCCTCCCCCACTTCCTCTTGGTGTTATACAGGGATATCATGTCCATTTATAAGGAGCCTCCTCCAGGAATGTTCGTTGTACCTGATACTGTTGACATGACTAAGGTATGTAACTTGGTGGGGTTTGGAGGGTTATTGGGAAATCGGGCCCATAAAGTTGGAAGAGCCTAAAAGAGATTATCCAGCTCACATCTCTTATTACATAGATGAAGAAATCAAAATCCCAAGAGAGTAATTGGCTTGCCCAAGGTCAGACAGTGAAGTGGAACAGAGCCTTGAACATGTGTCTCTTTTTGGGGTGCCATAAGGTCCTGGTTGGCTTGGGAAATCCCAGTATGTTTCTATTGTCCCAGCATTCTTTCACTCTCAGAAATGCTCCAGTTTGGATGATAAATTATATTGTCACCCTATTCATTGTGCTACCCAACTCTTCCCCCATCCTTCCGCTCTTGACCTTTAAGTGTGGTGCTGTAAATCAGAAGCCAAGAAGGTTGGGGATGGAGCAGGCTTGAGTGAGCAGTGTTTATAGTTATAGGGCTTTGTTAAGGCTCCTGTCCTTACTGATTGCTTTGGAATATCCCTTCCACCCCAAAGACCGCTCCTCTCTTGTCCACACACAAACACAGAGAAAGCTTCAATTCCTCTGGCATAGATTACCTAGACTTCTCTGTCATTGAATGCTCTACTTTCACTTAAACTGATGTTGTGAAGAAGTCAGATTACCTAAATCTAGTGTTGTTTAAATGAAAACATAGTTTCAAATTTCTTACAGTAAAAATTCACATTTGGAATTGTTTGTATATCTATTTTGTTTTGAATAGGTTTCCCTTTAAATTGATTTTTTCTTTTTATCTCATTGGAAATGTTTTTTCTGAGACATCTTGTCCTTAGTCAAGTGTCAGTGTTAATATGCTAGTCCCTGGGGTCCTAGAACTGATGTCATGTTGATACCATTTGAGCTTGCTGTTCCAAACGACTGGAGGCTAAAAGATAACACAGGGCCACCAGGGCACGGTAGGGACTGTAGGCTGAGACATTGGATTGCAGGTCCTTTTCCCTCTTGCTGTTTAAATTCAGAGCAGACTTAAGTGCCTAGGAGCCTTTGTAAAAGAAGAAATACAACTGAGTCAGTTAAGGTTTTCCTCTCTTCTGGAAGAAAAACCTTGTTCAATAATCACAGCCGGAGGAAGAGAATTTAACATTCTGTTTTAAGTGCTGCTGATTTTTTTCTTTTTAATTAACCTACAGTGTTGGGGAAAGTTCTGGGGATGATCTGTGGCTCCGAGTGGACCCTGAGTTTCCCCATTTTTCTTTGCATCTTTGACACAGCTGGATGCTGCCTGAGCCACATCCTCCACAGTAGGTTTGATCCTCTACGGAGGAAGCAGATACCCTAGGCCTCCATTACAACCCTTAGCTCTGCACTGTGATTGGCACTGGTGTGGTGGCCTCCAATCCCTTTCCTCTTTTTCATTCATCTTTCTCCCCTTGTGTCACATGGATGGAGGGTGGAGTTGCATCATATGCATGTTTCACCTAGGCAGATCCAAACAAATGTACTCACTAGTTGTAGGTATTAATTTCTTAAAATTAAACGTGCTAAGATAATATCTTACAGATACATATTATGTTTTGCACATTGGTGTTCTATCCATTTGTTACACATAATACTGATCAGGAAAGTCCGAACGAAAAAAAAAACATGCTTTAAGGGAATTTTAAGGGGCACTCAAGGGTGGTTTTGGCTAGGTTCAATTTTTACCTTGGGCTCTAAGGTTAGAATGTAACTCCTGAGTAAGATGCCACTCCATTGTAATGAGATTTCTTAGAATTCCAAACATATTTGTTAGTATGAATGAGTACACACTATTCATTCTGCATAGAGAGGATATGATACGGATATAGACGAAGGTCCTGCTGCTGGCGTGGGTAGCAAGTGGAAGCCAGGAGGGTTTGGGATGGGACATCACCTCACAATTTTGAGATGGGGTTTTATTTTGCAGATTCATGCATTGATCACAGGCCCATTTGACACTCCTTATGAAGGGGGTTTCTTCCTGTTCGTGTTTCGGTGTCCGCCCGACTATCCCATCCACCCACCTCGGGTCAAACTGATGACAACGGGCAATAACACAGTGAGGTTTAACCCCAACTTCTACCGCAATGGGAAAGTCTGCTTGAGTATTCTAGGGTAAGAGGAGACTTCTAAGTGGCCAAGTTGGTTGTTAGCAAATAATTACTCTAGGCCAGCCTTTATCAACCAGGGTTCCTCATCTGAACACAGAAAATGATTGGAGTGACTATTTCCTCAATTCTCCCCAGGAGGGTACTTGAGTAGTACCATTCTAAATGCAAAAAAGAGAAGTTAATTCACTCCGTACAACGGATGCCTTAGTGAAGTGGTTCACCGAATGTCACAGAAGCACTGGATCACTTACAGCTGTGCGGATTCTGGTGCCTCACCCTGGAGTTCTTACATCAGAAACTCTGGAGGCAGCCCAGCAATCTAGGGGTTCTGGTGCAAACTCCAGTTGGAGAACCACTCCTTTAGGGCATCAGGGCTTAATTCTCTCCGGAGCAGGTTGAGAAAGGCTGCAGATCCTGTGCTATTCAGGATTGTGAGTGTCTTATTTCTGAGTCTCTCATGAGTGGCTTTGGAGGCGGTGGTGGTGATGATGATGATTATGATATTTTAACAACTGAATGAAAAATGTCTTGAGGTTAGAAGTCACATCAGATATGAAACAAAAGTTTCAAGTGCATTTTTGTTTCTGGGTGCTACCGAGATTTTGCTTCAAGTAGTTCTTGTCCATTCCCTTTTAACTGCCTTTAGGGGTTAAACATTCTGGAAATAACTTCTAGCATATTCCAGACTGGTCTTTTTAGTGTGATCTGAATTTCCCTGGGGCAGAGAACAAGTAAAAGTTGGAGTTTAAAAAGTTGCCCAAACTGGTTATCCTGTTTCTTTCTTCCTCTCCAATCCAATACACTTCCAGGTTTTTGTGAGGGAAAGGCAGCTGAAACAAACTTCTTTCCTCTACAGTGTTCCCCCTCCCTACCCCACCCAAATTCTCTGAGATCCAAGGATATGGTCTGTGATTACAAACAGCAGTGAGGAAGTCCTTTAAAGGAAGTTGTCCTTAAAAGAAGTTTTTATTTCCTTAGGGTATAGAATTGTCCATGCTAGTAAAGAGAGTGATGTGTATAACCCACCGTGGTAAGGAAATTTAGTTGTTGCTTCACTATGAAACTTGTTCATGAAAGTGTTTTTGTATTAAATTTTCTTTCATTAGGCCAGTATAAAACTTTTGAGCAAACATCAATTCACAGTAGAAACAGGGGAAGTACGATTGTGGGTGTAAGTGGCAGAAGTGTTGGTTGGAAAAGGAGAAGCTACTTCTGGAAAGTTTGCCTTGGAGAATCAGAGTAGAAAATTCCTATGTGTTCTTAGTTGACTATACTCATTAGCCTCATTCCTTTCCTCCCTACCTAGGAAAAAATACTGGGCTGACTTACAGAGAAATTGAATGAAAGTTTACCCTATTGACTTCAGTCTCCAAATACATGACGCTTTAGAGAACCCAAGGTGTAGGGTTCCTGGGGGAGCGAAGCTGAGAAGAAAGGTGGAGAGGCACTGAAGAGCAAGCTCTGAGGAAGTTACTGCTCCCCATCACTTAGTGGCTTTTCCTCAAGTCCAGCAGGAAAGGGAAGTGGCCAGTTAACCTGAACAAACCAGTCCTGGCTCATGTTGTATTTAGCTTCCAGCTCAGGTGTCATTTCTTCAACTAATTGAGCTAAAAATAAATGTCATTAATGTCCAAGCTTCCTTCTTCCTCCCAGTACTCCATCAGGTTTATGAAAGAGAGGAGCAATTTTGGTATTTCTCTGTTGTTCAAAATGTTCTTCATATATCATTTTCAGATCCTCCACAGTGTGGAAGAGCCTTATTCCTTTCCTGTCCTTTGGCAGAGTTGTGTACTCTTCAGAGAACTTATACTCTTTGAGGGCTTGATAGAGAACTGGATCCCCAGTCATCAGCCCCAGCACATGGCCTCTAACCAGATGGCTTCAGTCCCTCCTGGGCCTGTGTGCTCAACTTCTCTCTCCTCACTGACTCCATCACCACCCATAAAGAAATAAGTAAGGTCTTTGAGATCCATAGAGGTTAATGTGTAGACTGCCTTTGGAGCTGTTTTACCTTATTTGTTTTATTTTGATGAAGGGAACCTTCCCTGGCTACTGTTTCTTTCCTAGCCCAAAGAAAATCCCTACAAAGTTACCTGGCTTACTTTACCCTCTTTCTTTTGTCTTTGATATGAGGATTAAGGCAGTTGACTGATTTCTGGTGAATGGGGGTGAGACAGGCTGGGAAATTCCAGAGTACTAATAGTGAAAGTGAAATGTTGAGTCACTTATGATGGTGCTGCCAGGCCCCAGGGTACTTGTGCACTGGCCTTTCCCATCTCTGTGCTTCACGGTCTTCTCTTTCCTCTGATGTGTTTTGCAGTACGTGGACTGGCCCTGCCTGGAGCCCAGCCCAGAGCATCTCTTCCGTGCTCATCTCCATCCAGTCCCTGATGACTGAGAACCCCTATCACAATGAGCCTGGCTTTGAGCAGGTAAGACCAGGTGGGCCCAACTCTGGGGTGTGGAATATTGGGTTTTAAGAGATCTGAAAAGTCTACTTGAGCATTTAGGTTTTGGTTTTGGTTTTTCATCTGGCTCAGCCCCATGTATTAAACTCATCACTGTTGGAGAAAAAAGGATCTGGCATGCCTGCTCCATAATAGTGATTTTTTTTTCGCCCTTATTAAGTTACAGTAACATTGTCAAGTTATTTCCATTTGACTTGGATTAATCTACCATCTGGAAATCAGTGGAGTCATTTGGAAATTAATCCCGAGACTATTTTGGGGGCTCTTGCAGCCAGTGGGTTCTTCTGGATGCCTCCATTCTCCACTGTCCCTTTAAGGTGCTCTCTAGTGGCTGCTGAGCCAGACTTGTTTCTGGAGTTACAAAGTACTGTTACCTGCAGAGCCAAAGGAGCAGTCACTGGCTTGGGCAAGAATATTTTAGTCAGTGCTGCCAAAGAGAAAGTGGAGGAAACTCATATTTTCCAAGAGTATACTATATGCCAGCCACTGCCAAGCTCTTATATATATAATTTCTCATTTAATCCTCATACTAAGTCTGTGAAGTCAATAATTATTATCCCTATTTTCCAGTGAGGTAATAGTGGCTCAGAGAGGACCATTCACAAGGACACAGATCAGGATGTAGTCCCAGGAGCCCCAAATCTTCCACTGTTCTAAGCCCCTTCCAGAATTACTCATGAGCACAGGAAAAGAGTTCCAGTGATATTCCCCAAAAATAATAATTCAGTTTAGGTGATCAAAACAGCTTAATTCATTTTGTTTGTTTGTTTAAATATTTTTATTGAAGTATAGTCAGTTTACAATGTTGTGTCAGTTTCTGGTGTACAGCACAATACTTCAGTCATACATGAACATACATATATTCGTTTTCATGTTCTTTTTCACTGTAAGTTACTACAAGATACTGAATATAGTTCCCTGTGCTGTACAGTCTGAACTTGTTTATCTATTTCATATATAGTAATTAGTATCTGCAAATCTTGAACTCCCAATTTATCCCTTCCCAGCCGCTTTCACCCATGGTGACTATTAAGTTTGTTTTCTATGTCTGTGAGTTTGTTTCTGTTTCGTAAATAAGTTCGTTGGTCGTTTTTTTTTACATTCCACATCTGAGTGATATCATATGATATTTTTCTTTATCTTTCTGATGCTTAATTCATTTTGAAACTATATGAGATAATGAACACTGCTGATTCGTCTGTATGCCTAAACAAAGGGAAATACCCTTTAAGAATGAACAAAAATAATTCCCTACACCATCCTTTCCAACAAATAGTGTGTATGATTTCAGGAGTAGGTAGAAATGGAAATGGACCTCATTGGCTAACCAGCGAGCTGATTTTTTAGGTCTTGTTTGGAAATTCAAGCGATGTGACTTTTATTCTTAAAATTCTCAAACGTTCTTCTGTCACGGCACCCTCTTGTCTTGGTACTTTTTCTCAGTTCCCCAGGCAGAAAGAAATGCCATACTGTTCCATTTGTTAAGTAGTTAGGTCCAAACAACTTACTTCTTTCTTAAATAACTACAGTGATTTAAAAAATAGGATATTTAAAAACAAAAAATAGTACATTTGTACCTGTTCTGTGCCACACAACTTTTAAGCTCAGATCAGAGTCACCACCCTCATTTCTGTCCCCCCATTTTCATATGCTACTTGCTGCTTATCAAAGTAGTGACTGAAAATCCAGCTTCAAAAAAAAGTTTGTCATCGAAAGGATTATAATGCGTTTTAATGTTAAAACTGAACTACCTGTCTCAATCTAGTAGTTCGCGTGGTGTTTGACGGGTATTGAATACTGTGGTTTTCCTCAAAAAGTTTACAGTATCCCACAGTGCCCCTGTGATTTCGCTGTGGTGCACATTGGGAACCATGGTGGTAGGCTAAAGCCATGTATATCTTTCCTGTTCACATGTTTTGATAGAGCCAAGGCTCTGATTGACTGGGGTTGGTGGTAGGAGGAGGAGCAGAGGAGGAGTTAGAGGGTGGGAGGCCATGCTCTCTTCTGTTCATGCCCACGCTTTCATATCAGCTTTCCAGACCAAGTTCAGAGTTACTCTTTTGGAAATGTCAAGTTCTACTTCTGATAGATTTATAGTAATTAATTCAGTGATGGTGGAACCCTACAGAAATGTAAAGGAGTTAACCAGGAAGCATCCTGATAGCTATAGGTTTTTCAGACTGAGACTCTTAACGTCATGTGTGCCTTTTTGTTCTACCATCGTTCTTACATACGATTATTTCCCGCTTAATCCTTACCTGCGAGGCCTTTCATTTCAGGCTTCGGGAAATTTGATGTATCTGATTTGCTGCTTATAGATAAAATGACCCATAACGAGGATGGGTATTGGTATGCATGTGGGGGAGGTGAATGGTCTCAAGGGCTTAGTTGCTCCTTATGGATCTGTCATACAGTGGGAAAGGTATGCCCTTAGCTCATTTGCTTGGGTCACATACCCCGTACTCATCCTGAAGTCTCTTCCCATTGGTTTTTCTTTTTACCTAAATTTTGTACTTGGATACTATTGTATCTGTCACATTGTAGGAGAGACATCCAGGAGACAGCAAAAATTACAATGAATGTATTCGGCATGAGACCATCAGAGTGGCGGTCTGTGACATGATGGAAGGAAAGTGTCCCTGCCCTGAACCTCTACGGTATGTGTCAAGAGAGCCTGCCTGGTACTTGGTATACCTTATGGAGATTTAGCTTGTTTGTACCTTGGAGAACCTTTGGGGCAAAGTCCGGTGTTGGGCACCAGAGGGAGATAGAGAAAGGGGAAAGATATGGTTCCTGCTTTTAAAGAGCAAGTGGCTGAGGGTTACCCGAGAGAAGTTCAAGAGCTTCTTAGTTCTTGGAGAGTGCCAAGCCTGATGGGAAAGACATCGTCCATGCCCTCAGGGAGCCTCCATTTTTGTGAGGACCTCTTATACAGCCAAATGAGGTGTAGAGGACTTCATAATAAACCCGCTTCTTAGTGTTCAGGTTTATTTCTAGATGTTAAAACTAGATGTACCAAGAGTTCATGAAACTTTTCTAGGAGAATTTTGAGTAAGATTTGGGATTAGGTATGGCCTATGGAAAACAGATGAGACTGAGCAAATCTTGAGTTGAAATTGGGGTTCAAGTGATTCGTATTAATAGTCACTCTCATTTTATAACTCCTAGAGTATAAGGGAAATCAACCCTAGGTGGTCAGCTGTTCCTTTTTCCATTTTCCATTGAAAGATCTTTGTAGGAAACCAAATCTGGGCTTGGGGACTCTAGCTGTTTAATTTGGCATTAAGGTTAAATGGTGAAAGGGTGACCTATTCCCCTCTTGTTCCTAACTTAATCTTCTCTGCTTGTTTTCCAGAGGGGTGATGGAGAAGTCCTTCCTGGAGTATTATGACTTCTATGAGGTAGCCTGCAAAGATCGCCTGCACCTTCAAGGCCAGACTATGCAGGTAACACAGCTCCTGTTGCTGACTCCAGAGGCCTTACAACAGACCATGTAAATCCCCCCACAAGGGTGACATCCACATCTCTCATAGAATTCAGAGCCGAAAGGAACCTGGTGCATTTGAGTAGCTGAGGTCCAGAGAGGAGACTGAAGTCATATGGAGTTGGTTCTAAGTTCCTGGCGTAAAGTAGGTGCTCATGAGTAGAATCTGAATCATCCTGCTGCCTGGCCTGGAACTCCTTCCCTTCTTGGTCAGTAGTCTTTTCAAATCAAGAACATTTAGAACTTAGGGATTATAAGGGTCATCTATTGGAATTCCATCTCTAGCTTGGAGGGGTGCTAAGAGAAAGAACACTTAGGGAAACATTGGGTATGCAATTATTCTTGAAAGATTTCCTGTTCCAAGGATGGAAACCAGTTGTTCATTCTCTGACTCTGCTGGGGAAATGTGCTTCCACTTTCAGTAAGAATGCAGAATTTAGGCTTGTTTAAAGGAAGAGGTTCTTATTAAACCAAATTGTAAATACGCTCAAATATAAGTGACTAGTTGAGAACCCTCCTGTAACTGTGGCTTAACGTCCACTGGGCCCCTGATCATGAGAGTAACGTGTAGGCAGAAGTGTGGAAGGGGGCAGAATATGAGAGAGAAATCATGTACCTTTTTGTAACTGCCAAGGAAAGAGGGCTCCACGTGTTTGAATGCTGGCCCTGCTCCTTTGCTGCCGGAATCCTTATTTTTAAATTTCTTTTTTTTATATTCTCCACTCCACCCGTAGTTATTTTTGAGACTATAGGACAATTAACCCCTTCCTATATAATGGTTGGAGATCTTTGACTTCAGAAGAGTGCAGGTGCTTATCCAGAAGTCAGAACCCTTGAGTTTATAGACCTACCTGTGACCTTAGAAAGCAAGTTACCCTTTTTGAGTATAGGGAATGAAGTATAATTTTTCCTTTGTATAGTTTGTATGAGGTTAATTGAAAACACAGATACTCCTAATGATTACGGTTCTGGTCCTGAATTTCTCTTCCCTGTTTATCTCCCCTTTACTATGTTCTCCTTCTGCATATTGGCGTGCTTTTGAGTAAGCACATTTTCATGTTGGCCCAGGCCAGACCTATCTGGGGTGGTGAACGTGCCCTGAGAGTCCTAGCGAGGACGATGATGTCTGCCGTTCGGGACTGTCTGGTGTGCCCACCTCTGTTCCCGTGCTCAGATGTTGAGCATGTGATTCACATGGACCTAAAGCTGCGCTCTCTGGGGTGAGCCACCCAGACTTGAATCTTCCTTCCCGCTTGTCTCGTTTCTCCCACAGGACCCTTTTGGAGAGAAGCGGGGCCACTTTGACTACCAGTCCCTCTTGATGCGCCTGGGACTGATTCGTCAGAAAGTGCTGGAGAGGCTCCATAATGAGAACGCCGAAATGGACTCTGATAGCAGCTCGTCTGGGACAGAGACAGACCTGCACGGGAGCCTGAGGGTTTAGACCCTGCTCCCCTCTCCCCTCCCCTACTCGAGAGTCCCAGCAAAGTCCCTTCCCCCCACCCCAGGGATGGAGAGGCACTGTGTATCTCCCTCCAAATGTGACGTCATCCTGCAAGATGGCAAGAACCAACCAAGCTCGGATCCCAGGGCGTGGGAGTGGGGAGGCTGTTCCCAAAATGACCTCCTTGGCTCTCGAGCATCTGGGGCTATGTTCATCCCACATCAGGGGCCAAGGTACCTATGCAGGAGCACCTAGGGCGAGGGCCTCTGGCAAAAACAACAACCAACACACCTCTCCACAGGGCCAGCTCCTTAGGGATAGGTGGGAGACAGGAATTGCAGTTCCAAGAGGGAGTGTGCCCAAGTGATTTATGGGGATATCTGGAAGGGAGCTTGGGGTGGGGGGGCTGTCTGTGACACTTAATGCAGTCTGGGTGGTTGTCTGTCTGTCTGTCTTCAGTCTTGAAGCAGGGCTTCCCAATGCCCTTTTCCTCCCTGCCTCTGTTCTCCCATTATTTCCCATGGGCCAGCATAATTTTGTTTTTCCTAATTTATAATCACTGTTCTAGACAGACCAAAGAGAAGGAACAGTGGTGACGTCTAGGCTGCTGATGAGTAAGCTTTACCTAGCACCTGAGCACCTTTCTCCTCTGCCCCCCATCCCCACACCCATTTCTAGATTTATGACAGAAGGTAAGTGTGACTGGGACTGAACCAAGGTCTTGGTAAAGCCTGCACAGGCACCATAAGAAGCTGAAAATGCCGTTTGTTCCCCAAATCACCGATTTGAAAAGTTTCCAACACAGGCAGCTGCTGCGTGTGTGGGATTAGAGCCACTATGTAGAATAGTATCTTACAGATTTTCATAAATACTAGTCACAATGAGGGTATTCCTCCTGGGGGTGGGGCGCAGGGGGCGACGGATGCTAGTCCTATTGTGTTGTGTTTGGCTGTCCTTGTGTATTTTCACCTCAGCCTGCAGTTCTCGCTTCAAAGCCCGGGGAGCTGTAGGGAGCAAGGGTAGCCAATGGCAGAGGGGATCGGGGCTGGGACTCTGAAGACTCCTCCCCTTCCCTCCCCGCCCCTCCCCCGCCCCTCCCAGCTGCTCTTTGTCACTGGTTCTGATGGGTGTTTGGCTGTGTTGCTTCTCTCTCTGTATTTAGCTGCAGTGATCCTTTAGCTGGTTGGCTCAGAAAAATGTGCTTTAGGTGCCCTGTGATACTGGGCATCGAGGGAATCCATCCTTCCCCTTTTGATGTGTTCTCCCATGCTTTCCGGATTCTTACTGTTAGGGCTCCCGGTGGGGTGTTGGTGATCCCCCTGACGCAGGGCCTCAGTCGGTATCCAGCTACATGTGAGGGAGAAGATAACTTGTACCTGCTCTGCTCGCTGCTATGGGAGGCCTCTGCCTTGTGGATCATGGGACTTACTGGGGGAGTTGGGAAGGGGGTTGGGCACAAAGGAGAATGTCCTACTTGGGAGAGCAGGAAGTGAAGAAACTGGACAGAAAGTGGGCTTGTGGGGTGGAAGTTCAGCTTGGATACCTGAAGGCTGGGTCTCTTCACAAGGAGACTCAGGAAGGAACCCTGCTTCCAGTTTCCCTCTTCCATTCCCAGAGCTAGTACAGGGCTTAAAATAATGCCCTTGGTCAGTTGGTCCAGTGTTGTCTGTCATCCATTTAAGTGTTCCCACTTTCAAGTGACAATCCTCTCCTGGCCCTGCCATGGGCAGAGCATGTCTGGCATACTAGCCTGACTTTTACGCCCTAATCTTGAGTTGAGGAAATATATGCACAGGAGTCAAAGAGATGTCTTTATATCTGACTGTACATAAATGAAGTTTTTTTTTTTTCTTTTTGGTGCAATAAAGTTTGTTTTGGCAGAAGGAGGAAGCGCTTGTGGGTGTGGGAGGGTTTGTGTAAAAGGAAGAATGGGATCATGACAAACACACCTCTCACTTAGGCCTGAAACTGTCAGGGATAAAGATAGTGCTCAGTGGAAGCTGAAAACCTGTGTTACATCACGCGGGTAGAAGCAGGGTTACGGCAACAGGAGCTCCCCATCAGTCAGAAATAGGGTCGGTCCTGTTTTGAGGCCTTGGCAGTCAAGGAGAGGCATGCCATCTTTGCCTTGGTTCCTTCCAAAGAAATACTTGTTCAGAAACTGGCAAGTGAGCATGTCCTGCAAGGATGGGCAGAGGTAGCGATGGGCTTAGACTATCCCCTTGGAGGTGTCTTCGTATGAATAATCCAAACCGTTGGGTTTTCAGCTTTCTGGTACTAAACCAGCCCTTCTTAGGAATTTAGAATTCAGACTTAAGACTGGGTTTCACTTGCAGCTCATCAGTACCTTCTGTACTTGCTTTGGAAAACTTGTTTTCTGGTTTCTGGAACAGGCTTTTCCTCTTGGCCGACCATGTGTGTAGGAAGAAATTATAAAACGACCTACCTGTGCCGTGCAAAGCTAGATACGGGAAACTGTGCACTCTGGGGTTAATGGACCTCGACTCTAGCTTTGGCTCTGTTTCTTAAGCTGGTGGCCCCAGGCAAATTAGATTCCTCTCCTACAAAGTTAGGATACCTACTTAACCTTTTAAGGTTGCTATGAGGAATAAATAAGGTGTATATAAGACTGGGTGTAGGGTAGGTGTTAATAAATGATTCCTTTTCCCACCACGAAGGTTAGAGGGACCTGGTGATCATTATGGGAGGGAAAGCTAGTGAGGAACTTGAGAAACGATACTACATCCACTATTGGCTGATTCCCCTCAATTCTATTGTTTTCTCTAATCACCATTTAACATTAACCTCTATTTCCTTCACACTCATAGCTGAATCTGCCATAACCTGGAACCTCTACAGAGAAAGCTAGAAGAGACTGAAAAAGTGAATATTATTTACGGGTCCATTAGGGTCTGCTCATTTGAGATAAAGAATACTTTATAAGGAAGAGGTCTGAATTTACAGAAGCTCTAATTTTATGTCTCGGGGTTATAGAGACTAGACTGGCCAGGAGACAGATGGCCTTCATCCTAGGCCCAGCTCTACCATGAACTTGTAGATGACCTGTGCAAAAGTCATTTTATATGTGCTTGCTGTTATCTGTGTTACTCAGGTTATCCTTAATGGATAAACAAGGTTTTCTCCAATAAAGATGCAATGTGAAGGCACTTTAAAAAAATAAAATAATGGATGAAGAATATTGGGGGAAGAAAAAACTTGGAATTTTTTTGGTTTTTTGTCTTTTTTTAAAAGAGTTGTCCAGGTTTTATTCACCACCAGCTCCTCCCTCTTCTCCCTGCCTGCTGCCGTGCCCCCTTCCACATTTCGTCAGGGGAGGGCTTCTCTGGCCTCCTCAGCTGTAATCTCCTGGGAGTAGAGGTCAGTGAAGAGAGCTGGCAGCCAGTAGTGGGCCTCCCCTGGGGCCTGCAGGTCCAGCCACGCCAGCCCTTCCTTCAGCAGGTGTTCCTGGCAGGAAAAGGAAGGAAACGTCAATTGAGAAGGGGGCATTCCCACAAAGTAGGGCAGATAAACAATCTCCAAACCCAATTTTGGCTTCAGTGGGGTTTTTGAACTAAATCTACACGAGTGCCTTCACATATTTACACAACCAAACTGGAATGATCTGTTTAGCCTTGATCTTTGCCTGAGGTGTGAAAAATGCCACCAAGTTGCTTAACTTGTGTTGCTGTGAAAGAGGGTAATGACAAGTGGAATTCTGTGGAAGGAAGGTAGGGCTACAGAAATATTTGCTGTATGGCCTTGAGCAAATCACTAACTCCATTCCCCGAAGCCAAAAGGAGATCACTATCTTTCAGTTAACTTAACTGGGTAACAGGCAGATGTGGGAAAACCTTGGAGAAGTTAATGGAAGGGCCATATTAATCAATGGACTCACAGTTCCTACAGCTGGAAGTATGCTCCAGATGGGTTGGTTCTGCTCAATACCATCAAACAAATGTTTATGTTATCCCCACTTCACAGAAGTTTATAGTTTAACTGCCCGGGTAAGGAAGAAGGTATTGAAAGCCAGGGCCCCCTACATGTTCATGCTACTCCCCCTTCACAACATCAGCCTTTCATTAGTACTATGAAATCTGTGTATATATAAAACTATACATAATGTGCAAGATAATAGTATATAATTGTAGATATGTAATTATCATTAGTAGTTAATGATTCCCTTCATGCTGTGCTAACAGTGTTACTTCCAGTACAAACCATATTAACCATCTGACCAGGCCCTACAGGTCAGGAGAGAGGTGCTGGGGCTCCTCAGCGGCAGTGGCAGCCTGGTCATGCCCATGTGCCAGGGTGGGAAGCCTGCCTTGCTTGAGTTCTACCTCTCAGTGCCATCTCCAGAGAAATGCTGGGGTCACTTCTAGGGTGGCAGCAGCAGCCTTCAAGGCAAGTCAGTAAAGAGAGGCTGAAGCCCCTGTCTGTGTGGTACCTGTCAACCCACCTCCTCCCATCTGGGGCCCGTCTTTTCTGGGCCATCTCAAAAGTCACCTACCAGTACTTGCCGCGCTCGCTCGGTCTCCCATTTAAGACTGGCTTTGATATCACTGACAGTCACGTAGCCATTTTTCTGAAGGAAGGAGGAATGGGGAGTGAGTTAAGAGTGTGCTTAGAACCAGCATCTTCCCAGGGACAATCAGTTTATCCAGACAGAAGGGGGAATTGCCCTTGGGTGAAGCCTAAGAGAGCACAGAAAAAGAATGTTTACAGGTTCTGGCAGAGAGAGAACAAGAGAAAAGTGACTTTCAGGGTGATAGAGATACGTTGAGGGGTTAAGTCTTAAAAAGTGGAGTCCCTGGCACTAAAATATTAATAGAGACTTTCTCAGAGAATTCTAAAGTATGACAAAGAAAGATTCAGAATGATTAACTGATAGGAAGGAATGATCATCATCATCAGCTGTTCATAATCTCAAATATTTAAATATTCAGCCCTTGTCCTGCCTCACCCGAACCATTCCCCAATCAAGAAAAGCCCCCTCCCTCCTTTAGTTTTAATCTATATTACAGAATTCAGAAAACTGAACATGTCTTCCCTTAAAACATGATCGGGGGAAGATGATGGTGCTTAATGCATTACTGAGAAACGGGGGGGCAAACAAGAGTAAACATTTGTTTTGAAGATTTCCATAAAGTAGTTTAAGAATCTGTCCACCAAGGAAATACAGTTAGTTGTCTGCATGTCTGTCTACTCCACTAGACTGTAAGCTCCTAGAGAGCAGGATCTACATGGCACCCACCTTTATCTGCCCCACAGCCTGGCCCAGTGCTCTGCACTGTAGCTGCTCAATAAACGTCTGCTAAATAAGCACAGGTCTGAGGAGTGCGTCCATTAGACAGTTTCACCACAAGACCTGAGTGAAGGGGGGAGATCAGAGCTGCTCCAGAATCCCCTTCCAGGCTCTCTTAATGTGTACGTGCGCACACACACTCACTCTCTGAGAAGGCACCCCCGTACCTCTGCCAGCTGCAGCACCACAGTGTGATCCATATTGAGCTCAGCTGGAACAGACTGAATGAGGTAAGTGCCGCCCACAGGGATGATGCCGAAGCCAGTGCCAAGTGCTTTTAGTTTCTTGATGGCCCTGATCAGGTCGTCTCTGAAGTGAGGAAGAGCTGCTTAAAGACCCAAGGCAGACCAGACCTAGCAACAATGCAGTTTCAGCTTTCTCTGGGCAGGACACCCTGATGGAAGACTCAAAAGGCTGCACAACATTTAACTGCATCAGTAAAAAGGCGGGGTTAAAGTGCACCAAATGGTGCTTGAACATTCAAGGAAGATAGTGTAAGAGTCAGGCCCTCCACTCTGCAAACCATTCCAACACAAGACAGAGGTAAAAAAATATGCTTACAGGAAGCCATCACGAAATGTGAATGAATGAGCTGAACTTAAGAGACAAGAGGCAGTAGTAAGAACTACGGTAAAATAGAGAATGTTTATCCATTTGAAAGGGGGTAACCCAGCTGATTATTGCCTTGTGGAAATTCAGGCCCAGTAGTGCCAGATTTTCTGATTTCTTAGTTGACAACTAACTGAAATTAGGGAAGAAGAAAACCCATAAAATGTGGAGATCACACATCCAGCCCACATACTAATAGCCTTTTTTACCTTTTCTCAAAGTGGAATCACACATAAACGCTGGTGAACCGGGTCAATTTACACCCCATCTTCAAAGCCCAACTCCCTCCCTCAGCCTTTCTCAGTGCCTGCCCTAATCTCCTTAACCTCAAACAGTGTCAAGATTAGGGGAGGATATAGCTCAAGTGCTAAAGCACATGCTTAGCTTGCATGAGGTCCTGGGTTCAATCCCCAGTACCTCCTCTAAAATTAAATAAATAAATAAACCAAAAAAGACAGACAAATGGTATTAAGATTATACACAGCCCCAAGTATGTTAAAAAATATATATATATATATATTTATGCATGAAAAATATCCTTAGATGGAAATCTACCAAAATGTTGTAATCTCTGAGTTGAGAAATAATAAGTGGATCTTTTTTTAAATATCTCCCTATTTTCAGTTTTCTAAAATAACATTTTTAATGATCATAAAGAGGAATAAAAATGATTCCTAAACCAGCCTAGATGTACAAGCAGTAAGGAGAAAAGATTTCCATTTGATTTTTAAAGCCTTTCTAGACTCCAAGGGGTTGGAAGGCAAGACCTACTGGCTGACATCCTGGGCGAATTTGCCCCTCCCTTTCAGCACCTGTTGATGTAGTTCCTCCAGAGTTATCAGACCTATTGGAGAGGGGGCACAGAAAGCAGTTGAAGGATTACCTTTATGGCTAAAAAAAAACAACACGAAGGCAACATCATTTCTAAAAAAACTATAAATGCTCTCTTGATACCAAGGCTGTGTCTATAACCAATGATTTATAACTGGTTTTAAGTTTTATTAACTTCAATACAGACCGTTCAATGTGCTTACTTAAGATGACACCACTGGATGACCATTTTGAAGGTCACATTTTGGGGAGCACAGAGGTTCAGTAGGCATCACCACATCCTGGAGAAGCAGGGCAGGCCTACCGTTACTAACTAATGAGAAAATTATAACCCAGACACATCATCTATCAGGGGAAAAGGTCTATTCCCTACCTCCCTACATGTTCTGTAACAACTTCAAGCTAAACCTTCCTGGCCAAAGATCTTTGGAGAACAGAGGTAAATATTTGGGTAATTCCATTTACCCTTGGCCATGGAGACTGGCCATGGATTCAACTGCAGGAAGCACTAAGATGCTTCTCAGGACCTTATTGGCCTGCAGATTTCAGGACAGAAAAGGCTACCTTTCAGGGTTTTCTCCCTCTCAGAGAAGCCCAAAGCCCAGTCCACAGGACCAGGCACCCTCACCTCCATTCCGGTGTTTCAGGGCCAGGCACACTTCGATAATCTGGACACCCAGCTCGTAATAGAAGTCTCCCACGCCTAGCATCTCAGACCAAAATCCTTTCCCAGCTAAAAGACAGAAAAACAAAAGCTAGGTTATTCATTAGTTACATCTTTACTTTCAAAGCAAGATGAAAACATCTATACTAGTTCATACTGTCCAACCTAACAGTGACCTTCAGAAAGAAATTCCAGGCAGAAATTATTACATTTTTTAAATCTAGAGCTTAAAATATCAAATTATGCACCATTTTAAAGAACTGTCATTCACATATCTTGATGCATTTAGTGTGCAATCACAAAACTGGATATGAACAAATTAATTTTATAAATAGAAAATGATTAAATAGTGTTTAAAAGAAAAAATATCTATCCTATGAGAAGTCTTCCCACCTAGCTTGAAGTCCTTCTGCTCCACTTACTACTCAGGATCCTCAACACAATCTGACTCTTGGTGACTCCCACTAAAGAACAGGTTCAGACAGTTCTAAAGGTGGACAGTCTAAAAGGCATTTCTATTTAGCTGCTAGCTCTGGCTCAGGAGCCTATAAAAATGAGTTTCCTTTCCCAAAGAATGCAGTGAAACATAGTGGGACATATGGTCTGGACAAGGCTAAGAGAAAGAATACACAGACCTGGCATTCAAAAATCCACTGAAGATATTTTATTGAGTAAAAAATGTAGGTTATAAAGTAGTAATTACAGCATAATCCCATATATGTAAAAAAAAAGTTAATAAATATGATGAAGGTGTCTTGAAAGATATACCTTAAACTGTTAACAGTACTTTATCTCTGCAATTATGGGACAGAGTCAGGGGACTTCTATTTCCTCCTTTTCTTTTTTCACCTTTGTTGATGGACGGCCTGGTCGCATACTACCTTTATTAAAACTAAAAATTGTTTTTTAAACAAAGAGGAAAAAAAGCCATAAAAAATTCCACAGCAGATCATTCCAGGGAAGATCATTTACACCAGCTACTCAGCCTACCCTCCAACCTCTCCATCTTTCCCATCAAACTGGGCACTCAGCCAACCTGCTAGGTACTCCCTAAAGGCAACATCCTCTGGAGCTCCCTATAGGCCCTTGTAGATGTCCCAAAAGTCATGATAACAATTGGGTGAGCTTCTGTCCCTTAGAAACCCTAGGAGAACACTGGACCCCTACAGACAACTCCTTACAGGCCAGAGGATCCACCCCAATGGTGGCACACATGTCCTGGAACTGCACTCGAAACTCGGGATTCTTCCGGATCTCCTGCTTATGCTTGCTGGCGAATTCCTCCAGGTTGGTCTTGAACATGTCCAACTGCTTCGACATCTGCAGGATGAACAAGGCGGAGGTTAGGGGTAACCCAACCAGGTGATAATAGGTCCCTGGGCCAGTGGCAGGGCAAAGGCTGAAATAACCTGTCTCCTTCAGGCCTACTATTATGCTATTTACTGTTCCCTTTCTTTTTATCCCTGTCTCACCTTCAGAGTTCTGCTATCACCAGAAATGAGATGCTATATTGTTTCTTTAATTCTAAGATACACATTCTTTTATGTGTTCCTGTTCTGAAGTCAAGATGCATCTAACAATAAACGTGCACATCTATTGTGGTGCTTTTTTTCTTTCTTTGTTCTTTTTTTTTTTTTTTTTTACAATTTTTGTTTTATTTATTCATTTTCTTCCAGTATTACTGAGATGTAACTGACATGCAGCACTGTGTAAGTTTAAGGTGTGTAGCACAATGATTTGATTTGCATCCATCATCTCACATAGACACAGTAAAGAAACAGAAAAAAATTTTTCTCCTTGTGATGAGAACTCTTAGGATTTACTGTCTTAACAACTTTCATAAATAACATACAGTAGTGTTAACTATATTCATTTTATTGGAAGGGCTGCTTTTTTCCCAGAAAAAAAGGTTATTGAATTGAAGGTGCACCTAATAATCCATTTTGCCTTAAAAATGAGGAAATGCAGCATTCACAGGGTGGGAAGTCTTCAGCCACTGACAGAAAGGCTAGATGGGAAAGAAAAGAAGCTTGATGTGAATTAGGTGTGCAGTGGTTGTTTAATCTTTGAGTTATGGACCTCCTTGGGGATAAACCCCATATACAGAATCTCTGAGGGAGGGGTGTGAGTCTACCAGATTACATTCCAAAGCCAAATAATTTTGGTTTGGGGAACATTCTGACTTCCTATTTGTATCACTCCTCTTTCCCTAATTAACAAAGCCTATTTTCAACCCACTCCTGGCCCAACATCTCCTCATTTGCTACGTATGGGAAATTCACACATTACTATAATCACCACTTCCAGTTGATTCCTGCATGTTATCTCCTCTTACGAGTGGGAGCTTTTTAAGAGCACAGTCTGTGTCTACTATCTTTCAAGTGCCCATTTCCTAGCCTCACGGCCTTCTCTTCTTCTTCACCAGTCAAAATAACTGAGTAAACACAGGACATGTACAGAAAAGGGAAGTGTTAGAGAAGGAAACTTAGCAGAAGCCACACCCCCATCACTCACACACGCCTCTGGTATGCACAGAGATGTGATGGTGGTAGCGGTAGGTGCCGCAGGTAAGACAGTATTTACATGTTATTCTTAGGCATTTAAAGTAAAAACCCAAATGACCCAAATCAAACAACTCTACCACTTACTACCCATGTAACCTTGGATAAAGTACTTAACACCTCAGTGCTTTCCATTCTATATTAGGAGGAACAGAGTTCCTTCCTGATAGAATTGTCAGGAGGAATGAACAAGACAGTGTATGTAAAGAAAATGGACATGTGCCTGGGACGCACAAGCACCTAATCAAAGACGTTAGCGATCACTGTTATTAGCAAATCACCTAAAAGATCTGAGCAGCCCAGAAATGGGGATTTGCCAGCTACCCTATTTTCAGTTCGATCCAAACAATCGAAGTTATATGAAAGGTGTCCTTCCCAGCCTTATCGGGTCTCCCATGCTGCCTGGAGCCCTCCAACTCACTCACCTGGGCCAGCTGGTCCTCAGCCAAGACAGTCCCTCGCTCCTTATACTTTGCCTGTCAGACAAAGAGACCAGCATGAGTTGAGAGAGTGGGTGCTGGGGGCTCCCACTTGTACTGCCTCCTCAGAAGTATGAAAAGAGGAGGGTCTCTCAGGTGGTTTTCTTAGGGCGAGGGGGTGAGGAAGTAGGATAGACGATTCGTCTGTAATCAAATTTGGGGAAGTAGGGGAAAGGGCTAGTGGATCTGCGGATGCTGACATTCCAGTCCACCGGAAGCTGGAGCAGTTCAGTTCCCCGGGACCCGAGAAGCCCGCGTCAGATTCTGTTGGGAGGCGATGTGAAGGTACAGGGCTGTGCTCGGGAAGACTTCTGTCTCTCGCGGGTCAGGGGTGGCTGTGGGTCCGCCTCCTTCCCCTCACCTCGGCAAGCTTCTTCTTGGCGATAGCGCCGGCTCCCACCCCGCGGCGGTGCATCCCCGCCCTGGCC